CGGTGCACCAGAGGAGAAGCATTACAAGTTCTGAAACGCGAAGTGTGCCCAACCGCAATTCCTCCTTGTAGCTTTTAGCGTAACAAACAAAACTTTTACCTTGTGAAGCTGCCACAGAAACAGGAGGCAGCTGCAGAGAAGAAAAACCGATGCTTCCGTTCAGCAGCTGGCCATTTGTTCCTGAATTAGGGATCTGGACAATGCCATACTGGTTTATTTGGACAGGAGCAGTAAAAGTAACTACAGAGCCTCCATCTTGGGAAGTAACAGTTTGCGTGCTTTCCCTTTTCACCTCCGCGCTTGGTATCAATCCTGGGAACGAGACCGGGATGTTACTGGGGCTGAACGTAGCTGCTGCCGTGTTAGGGACCGAAGCCTGGAGGAGTTTGAAGTCCTTGACGTCTTCTGAAGAAGACGACAAGATGTCAGTGATGGACACCCCGTTGCTCACAACGCTGGAAGTGGTTTTGGGTGAATTTAGAGTTACCGTCTGCGAAGCCCCCACACTGAGTCCGTTGAGAATGACGCCGTTGGGTCCCTGGAGGAAAGAGCTACCGTTGAGAAAGACAGGAGAAGTACTGGCAGGCACTAGGTTTCCGTTCAACAAGACGCCCGATGAGCTCAAGGCTATTTTAGTGTTTCCAAGCTGCTGCATGTACACTGGCTCCATGTGGCCGGGAAGACTGAGGCTGGCAACTCCATCGGATGAGTTGGAGAGTGGATGCGGAGATAAGTCCTCCTGGCCCTTACTGGATTCATCTTCCGTGCTAGGGTTGCCATCTGACTCGCTACGGGAAAAGGCAGAGACACGACATTGCATTACCACACCGCGGCACACTGGCAAGCGTTACACCAAACGAGCCTCCTTGCTTGGATACAGCGCACGAGGGCTTTTCTTTTCCTGATATATACATATATATGTGTGTGCATATGTATGTATTTTAAGTTTTCTGCCTTTCGCCTTTAAAACACGCTTTAAACCCACCGTAGGTCAAGGCGGAGGCTTCCGAGAAAAGCGCACATCAAAACCGCCCCTCAGCCAGCGTGAAACTTTACAGACTGGATTATAGACTCGTAAACAAATCCCCTCGCCGTGGCCACCTCAGCCCAGCAATCATAGGGGACCGCCTCGGGC